AAAAAAAAAAAAAAAAAAAAAGAAACTAGTCAATGAACACTTGAGTTCACACATTAGAACGGTGTTAAGAAACATGAAAGCACGTACACGTAGAGAGTGGCGATACGTTAGAAAATGCCTCGAGTTAGGATACGTTTTGGCCATCTCTATGTTCTTCTCATCTCTGTTTACACCTCTTAGTTGGATATCCTATAAGATAAAATCACACATCAGTTGTTACATATATATATATATAACTTACGTAGTCCAAAAATGTTTGCTAGTGATATTACATGAGGATCTGTATCAAAATCAAGTTCCAGCTTCCCTTCATCATCCTCCCATAGATTATAAATCACAATACGAGTTCCTTGATCTTCTAGGAAATTAAACTGTATCATTTGAAAAGAATGAGATACAATAAAAAAAGATAGGTCTATGAAGAAAGAAAATGGATATAACTAAAAGAAACCTGGTCGAATAACTCTTGTTGGGTTGAAAAAGGAGACCACTTCACTATAGTCTCTAGATTATCAAACCAGTCATCAGTAGAGTTGTATGTTATCTCCTTCCAGGCGTTATCTACCAACTCAAAATCAACCTAACACCAAGAAAAACAGACTCAAACGTTTTGAGATGACGAGTAATATAAATAAAAATTAGCAACTTTGAGTTTTTTTTTTGGTACCGTGGGGACAATGGCTTCACATTTTCTTGTCTCGTAAAGAAACGTATATGATAACATACCAATGCTCTGTGTTGTTCTAAAACAGTGATAAAGAAACTGTTATTAGATGTGAAACCAAGAAAGCAAAGTAGTGTGAAATAGCTTACTTATTTCCATTGGTTCCTTGACAGCGCGAGAAGACAATTGCATCAGCACCAAGCCTCATTGTACTAGTCTTGAATCCATTCCCATCTTCATTGTTTGTTTTAACAAATTTAAATATTGTAATCAACATTAATCAATGCCAAGAGCTAATGCAAAAACTATATATCTGCATATAAAGATTTTGAGCAGGCTTACATTGACCAACTTTATTAGGCATGTTGCGTTTTCTTGAATACCCCAAAGAAAGACATTCTCTAAACCTACCCGGATCCATCCCACCTCCATTGTCTGCAATGCAAAACCCGCCAGATCAATAAGAGGTTTCGTTAAAATGCACATATGTAGAAGTCGTCTTGTAAATTAACCTTCAACTATGAGAATGCTACTCTTCCCATCTTTTTGATTTGTTGCTGAGTTAACATGAACATATGTAGCCCCATTACATACCTATTGATCAAACGAAAGTTTGTGTTATGTATATCTACACATCCAAGTTTACATTAGTTTCTAATTATATATAAACAACACACTAATCCATGACTAAATGCACCCTAATGAGAGGCGTTTTTGGACAGAAACAAATCGATTCAAGATAAAAAGGGAAAAAATACCTCGTCTAGAGAATTGTCAAGAAGTTCAGCCAAAGCACCAAGTGCCCACTTGTGACTAGTGGCGTTAGCATGAAGAAACTGAGGATGAACCCTAACCGCAGCATCATTACTACCTATCGAAAAAAAAAACACACAATAATTAGGGTTTTCGAATTGCATGCAAGAAACCCCAAAATACTTCTTTATATTGACATAACAAAAAGAAGTGTCAAAATTACAATAACGAGGTACAGGCTCATCTTCTTTATCATCTCCAGCTTTCCAAAACTGTCTAGAAAGCTTATGATTCTCCGCTTCGACGATAGCCAATGGCTTTACATCCAGAGCAACAATCTTTTTACCATCTTCAGCGCTAACCACTGTCTTGGTTTTCTTGATAGCCAAGTTATTAAAATCCACATCATCTGAATATCTCTTGATACTTGGCTTGGAGGAGAAACCGGGAGGTGGGCCCGAGGGTTTAGGGTTACTAATGCCAGTGTTGGTGGTGCCTCCGATCACTAGCAACGGTTTCTTGGGGTTGTTGGTGTTAGGAGAAGAATCCATTGTTTACAGAGGGGTTAGGGTTTCGAAGCAAGTTTCAAGTGGAAGAGGGAGAGACTAGACGTGACACACGATTAGTCAAGTAGACCGAATATTAATAGGGAGAAACAGAGTTAGTGCGACTTTAAATAACCGTCCACCTTCCCGGACTTGGTTGCGCGCCGTCATTGAGTCTAACTCATGGGCCCAATTAAGTTTCTAATTAAAGCCTTTTTAAGATTTAATTTAGAGCTAAAGACAAGATTGTTTTAACTTTCTCAAAACAAAGGATCCAACAAAAACTTTTAATTTTGGTTTTAAAGTTTTCAAAAATGAGTCTTATAACTAAAAGGATATAATTTTATTGAAAATAAAAGTTTGCAAAAAGGAAAGACTAATGTATGAAAAATTATAGATTAAAAGGTAATTTAAGGCTCAAACAATAAATTTGTAATTACCTAATATTAACCAAAGAAAAATAAAAAAAAATATATATATATATAAACAGATATCAGCAAAAAGTAATAAATTTAAACCTAAAAATTCATGTAATATTCTCATAACTTAATCAGAATGAGATTATCAATTGTCGAAAAATTATGGGGGATATATATAAACCGACTTTTATATTATTATTCTACTATAATCATATCTTTATGGATTGTTTCAAAGAAAATATATATATCTTTATGATTTATTATGTTATTTTGATTAGCACAATTCTTCAAAGACATAGCTGTTGAAAAACAAAAAAAAAGACGTATAAAAAGCTTTGAGATTCCTACATAAAATCTATATCAAGTTATAATGACAAGACAAACAAATCTTTTGATCAGACGCTTTTACCGGTCACTCAAGACTGATGTCACCCCATTGGACCTTGTGCTTGGCAGCTAAATAATGAGCACCAACTGGACCACGACTCCCATAAGGATAGTACTCAGGGATTCTCTTATTCTCTTCAATCTCTTTAAGCAATGGAGTGAATAGTGACCAAGCTGCATCAAGCTCATCACTTCTTATGAACAACCTTCTTTCTCCTTCTATTGCATCCAGCAGAAGCCTCTCATATGCATCTGGTATCTCCTTCGAATACCTGAGGGGCAAAAAAGTTTAACATCACTTATTGCTTGAGTAAGATTTCTTCTTTAACTCGCTCACTTACCTAGCGGAATATAGAAGATTCAAGTTACTGCGGTCTAATCTCATTCCTAAACCAGGGACCTTATTGTTTATTTTCAGATATATTGCTTCATCTGGCTGGACACGGATCACAAGCTCGTTTGTAGCTTTATCAAGATCACAACCTGTATTATTCCTGTTATACAAATTCCCTGGAACATGCCTGAACTGCACCCTTATCTCTGCCCTGCATACATAAATACCGTTAACAGATAATGCAAAACTTCATAAGTTTCAAGTTTCAAGTTTCACTACCTCCTGGTGTGTAGTGCTTTGCCAGCTTTCATTAGGAAAGGCACACCATCCCATCTTGCATTGTCTATGAAAAGAGCAGCAGCTGCAAATGTTGGAGTCAGACTGTCTTTTGGAACGGTTTTATCATCGGTGTAGCCAGGATATGTGACTCCTCCCTTTGTGTGGCTCTTGTACTGTCCTATCACCACATCTTCAACTTGAATTGGCCTCATTGAACGTAGTACCTTAACCTGAATAGGGCACTAGGCTTGTCACAATACGCTTTTCTTGAACCAAACAACAACTTATAAAGATGGTAGAAACAAGAATCAAACCTTTTCGTTTCTGATATCCTCTGCATCCAAACTAACTGGGGTTTCCATGGCAAAGAGTGCTAGGATTTGAAGGAGATGATTCTGCATTATATCTCTTATTATTCCGTAGTGGTCAAAGTACCTGAATCAAATACAGAAGAGAAAAAAAAACATTAAAGCTTTCAGTTCAATACAGAGGAGATATCAATAGCACAGATGAGTTTACCCTCCACGTCCTTCAGTGCCAAAGTCCTCAGAAAATATGAATTGCACATTCCTTATGTATTGTCTTGACCATAGCGGTTCAAATATAAGGTTTGAGAATCTAAGAACGGATAAGTTCTCGACTAGCTCCTTTCCTAGGTAATGGTCTATCCTGTAAGAATCAAAACATATCATATATCAGTCAAGCATCGAGAGACATCAAACATTACAAGAACAAAGCTGTAAGTGCAATATCTCACACCTAAAGATTTGATCTTCTTCCAAGTACTGCTTGAGGGATTTCGTTAAAGCAGCAGAGGTCTCAGAATCTCGACCAAAAGGTTTCTCTACAATGACCCTAGTCCAGCCGTTGACAGATGAAGCTGAAGAGCTTGCACATTTCACAGCGTCTACGAATATATTTGGAGGGATAGACAAGTAAAAGAGGCGGTTTGAGATTCTTCCATCCTGGAGAAGGCAAAGAAGGATAAGTACAACTATGAACAGAACAAGACTCAAATCTTGTAATTTAACAGATTGGCAGCGGAACACATCAATACCTCATGTTCCTTGAGCTTCTTGTCCAATTCAGTAAAGTGTTCCTGAGAATCATACTGACCAGAATGATAAAAACATCTCTTGAGAAACTCATCCATCTTCTCACCACAGTTTGCCCTGAAATCCAGATGGAGCATAATGATCAGAGTGAATAATCATCTTCACCATTCCATCTCCAAGTAAAAAAAAAGGCATAAAAAGCTGCAACAGCTCACCTCTTATCAATCCTGCAGGTGAGGGTTTTACTGACCATGTTCTTAAGTTCAACATCTGTCATCTTACTCCTAGAATAACCGTATATCGTAAAATGCTGCGAAAACAAGAACACTAGGCTTTTGGTATGCAAAACAATACACAATCAACGTAACAATCACAGAGAAGAACTAAAACATAAGAAGGTAACACTATACCTCGGGAAGACAGTCTTCATAGTAAAGTGCGAAAAGGGCAGGAAAAATCTTCTTCTTGGCAAGATCACCAGAGGCTCCAACCACCGTGATACTAACCGTTGTCTGATTCTTACCATCAGATCCTTCTCCAACCTTGGCTACATCTTGAGATAAAACTGATAACACCTCATCTTTCAATCCCTTAAGAGAAGACTTGCTACTCTCTGTTGAATTTGAATTAGTGACTACTGCACCTATAAACCCCAAACGAAAATGTCAGAGCAAGTCCCTCTTCTACTGATGTCAACATTACATATGAGAATCTAAACATCTAATGGTTCAACGAGTATTGAAAAATTCAACCTTTCGACACAAAACAGGTTAAACAGAGAGCGAATGAAACTAACCATCTTGCATAGAGACAGACCTACGACCAGACTTGCTCTGGAATCTAATACAGAGCTCATGAGAATTCAATCCTCGAGGAGAAACAGACAGGAACGAGAGTGATCGATGTCTGTTACTACCGTTAACCAGTGAAAAAGAAGGCGAATAACCGGTACGGTATGAACGTGACGTAAAGGAGGAAGACAAAGACGCCATCATCAAAACGTATTACTACACAGAGATAAAGAAGAGTTAGGCTAAAGTAAAGAGGATAGGTTTTGTTTTAAAAGACAGAACATAAGAAACATCGAAAAGGAGATTCAAAGGGCCATTTCTGCAAATAAGACACTTTTGAGATCTCCCAAACTACTGCGATGGTATGGCTGCACCCTTGAAAATAATATTCAATTCAACCAAACCCCATAAGAAGTGGTCTTTTTTGCTGTCTTCTTCCCTTTTTTAATAGTTTTTGTTTGTTTTCTAGATCAAGAGATGTCCGAGAATATACGTTTCTCATAAAAGATGCTTTCTTTCTCTCTATCGTGGACTCGAGTTTGTTCACGTGACAATTATCAACACTCATGTGGTTAGGTACGCCTAAAATACAGTTGAAAAAGCTGAAGACTTTACTCTCAAAGAAGTCAAAACAAAATTTTCTTTCTTTAGGAATGAATACTTATGAAGTTTACACTCTTTCTTTCCCCTCAATAACGAAACAACACAATCAAAAAGACTAATACAAAAATGGTTGTTGTAACTCGCAGGCCAATAACCTGCAACAAAACTCAACTCTCTCTAACAAAACTCTTCTACCAACACTCACCAAAACTACCCAAAAACATCCAAAACTATGGTAAGGTAAGAAGCAAAGCTCAAAAAATCACAGAACGAAGGCGACTTTCTCTTGAGATATCATCTGAGATGGGCTCGCTATCAATGGCTCATAATGATCTGCTCCACCACCACACCACCCTGTGCCTTTCATGAATAGAAACACTGGAGACTCAATAACCTCACTTCTCGGCTTATGCGGAAGAAAGAACACACAATTCTCTTCCTCCACCATCCCATCAGACCCATGCGCTTGCACCTATGATGATGACAATACACAACTTCAGTTCTCAATGTAATTTTAAAACACACAAAATAAGACCAATACTCACCACATAGATCTCTCGTTTAAACTCAGTAGCAAGACACTCAATAGCAATATCATCCCCAAAAGCAGCCGCATGCCCTTGTCTATTCTCATCAACAGATAACAAACCATCTTCCGTATACTGCAAGCTAATAATGTCATACTCATCTTCCAACGACCCTGAAATCGACATGTACTTAGCCCAACTAAACCCATCGTTCACCGGAACACACCTCTCTCTATAAATCGACTCCGCAGCTATTTCTCTGCAATAACATAAACATCAGCTTCCGAAAACAGAGACCACCAGATTCTGTTCTGAAAAAAAAAAAAAAAGGACGAACCTTTGCATCCCAATTTGCATAAGCTCATCAATAGCGTTATCAAGACTCTCACGCTCCACCTTCTTAGCCAAAAACTTCTCCTCCTGAACAATATGAATCCCCCACCCTCTCTTCAGATCCGGGGAATACATATGCCTAACCGCCTCCTTAACAGCCTCCTTCTCCTCCTCTCCCAAAGTTCCGTAATCCTCAAGAAACCTCCTCACCGTCCGCAACCTCAACTCCCGCGCGTCGACCCCACGCGCCTCCATCGCCTTCTGCGACGCGGTGAAGAGGCAGTTCCCGTCGGAGGAGACCTCTCCGCCGTGCGAGAGGCGGAAAACGACGGATGAATCTTGTTTTCCCGGATGCTTCCAGAGGACGCCTTTTAAGTGGAGACGCTGAAGGTGTCGCCTTTGCTGCTCCTCGAGGCCGGAGACGTCGTCCCACGCGGTTGTTGTGGCGGAGATCGTCTTCTCCGCCGCTTCGATTGCGGCGAAGGCGGAGGATTGGTTGACGAGATCCACGTCACCAGAGGGTTCCCTCCAAGAAACGGTTGGTGATGGAGATTGAATCGTCGCCGTTGAATCACAGAGAAGCTTTCCCATTATTTTTTAATGATTATTATTCTTTTTTTTCGTCTTTCTTTCTCCTTCGAACGAAACTGCAAGAAGAAGAGAGAGAAAGAAAGAAGAAAAAGGATGAAGAGAGAAAGAGAGAAAGAGAGAAAAAGAGAGGGGTACAGTGTTTTTTTTTGGCTTAACGGCTATATGGGATGTGAGAGAACACGACTGTTGGAATTAACGGTCAGATCTGTTAAAGACTAGAACGCGGGAGAGGAGAGTATTACACGTGGCGTTATCTTAATGGTTTCGTTAAGACCTCTTTGACTAAACGAATGTCCTGAGGCTTGACCATGCGACGCGCCACTGAAAATAAAGTAATTATTTTTTCATTTTAGTCTTCGTATTTTATTAATTTGTCCCACTAGGTGAGCTGTCGTTATTAGCTGGCGCATCCTAACGTGCACATGGTGATTCTTTTTTTTTGGTAGTTACCTATTACAGGCAGCCTCATCACCTTATATAAGGGATTTCAACCAATCAAGAAGCTTTTTCACACGTATGCAATGTGTCAGTGATCGAGTTTCAACTTTCAAACGAGCTGCACCATACGTGCGGACTCGCCTTGAGCGGCGTGAACAACGTCAAAATGGATCCATGATCATTTGTGTATTAACCTACCTAGTAAATGACCTTGATTTAATGTTGTTGTAAATGTGAACAATATTTTTGTTACCCTGTCTCCTTTACGTGGAGTATTAGTTGATACTGTTTCAGACTAAAACCAACAGTAACATTGAAGTCTAATAAAGTGTTATTTTAAATCAAACGTTATGACATCAACTATATAAAATTACATTTTGGTATGTTTATGCCGTGTGTATAACACAAACAATATCTCAATATGAATGTTGTTGTGCCACAAACGCATCATCTAATCGGTCCATCAATTTTAATGGGCCTATTGGACTGAGAGTTTGACCATTGTTTAGAAACTAGGTGATTTTCCCGTGCTCATGCACATGCTTAAATATTTAAGAAATAAATATATTATAATAGTTGATTGACATTTACTTAAATTTTATATTAATTTATAGTTTGTATGCATAATTTCTATTAATAATATTATATATTTTAGTTATTATAATTTTATATATATTATATTTAGTCAGTATTATCATTTGGATATATATATATATATATATTGGATTCTTTCTATTCTATGAATTCAACTATAATCTTTTTTATTCTAAATATTTTAAATTTTTGATTAATTATTTTATTTACATTTATGTTGGTTGTTATCTACGAAATATAAGTATATCTTAGTAAGATTATGTATTTTAAGATTTTTTTGTGCTTAGAACGAAAAAAATAAAAACTAAAGTGTCTGATTCTAAATTACATAAGTAATAATAAATTTTTGAAAGCTTATGAACACATATCAATATTTACAATAATTAAAATATTTTATAAACTCTAAATAATTCATGCCATAGATTGATTGGATGATAAACTGAAATTTTTTT